GATACCCAGTGGATATAGTATTGTATGCAATAAGGTTGTAATCTGTATTCAATATGGAGATTGTATGGATATCCAATGGATAACCATTGGATATATAAATGTCCGACCCTCCTGGACATAGTGTGGATATCCAATGGATACCCAGTGGATATAGTATTGTATGCAATATGGTTGTCATCTGTATTGGATATGGTGAATCAATGGATATTTACTTTTCAATAAATAACATTGGGTTTTAAAATAAAAGTCTTATTCTTAAATTTAAATATTTATTTTTATGAAAACATAAAATAGAACAGAAAACTACATATAAAGAAGTGAAGTCTCTGGCTTGTCATCACTCATCCAGCTGTCATTTGCCTTTTTATCAGCCTAATCATTTAGGGCCTATGATCCCCAAAATTTGGCCAATCCATCAGCCCATTTAAACAATTGTTACCCTCGAGCCTATGTATATGTACCTTTATTTGCAAGCTATAGCTTGCAAATAAAGGTACGGTATATAAATGCATGCATGTATTCACCTTTAATGTTTTACCTTCAATGCTAACCGAAAGTTTATAAATTGCACTTAAATATAGGTACCTATTTAATTTAAAATTGTATTAGTTTTAGACCAATACAATTTAAAATGATAACTATGATTAGAAAATTAATAAAATATTTACTTACCACTAGAGACCTCAAACAAATAATCACAAAACAATAAACTTTATGACAAACATATAACAATCTGTCGCAGGGTGAAATGCAGGCCCGGATTGGGCCGGGGGGCTAGGGGGCAAAGCCCCCAGGGCCGCTGCCCGGATGGGCCGCCAAGGCCGTAATATAATATAATATGAATGCTTTATAAAATTAAAAGGGAAAAACTTCTCCAGAAGAAGTTTTCTCATCTATGAATTATCCTTAGGTTTTGATAACTTTTACCATAGATCATAAAAGTTTCTGTGAATTTATTTTATGATTTATTTCCAAATAAAGGCACAGTAAACAGTTTACTGTTTTTGAGATGACTTTTTAAAGTATGTAATTTCGGTAAAAGATGGCGCTACAGCCCTCTGGCTACAAACGCGCGTCACTGTGGGCCCTATGCCCAAACTAGGTTGCAATAAGTCATTATTGAAAATATATAATTTGCCACTATTGTTTTATTAAAAACATATTCAAACTTGTAAAAACATAATTGCTTTTTGAAAATACTCTACGAAGACTTTTTTATAAATGCCCAATGTCAGATCTTTAAATGAAAGTATATTTTTAAGACAATCGTTTTAATTAAAACTACGATTTTTGCGATTTTTTTTATAGCTTAGAGGGCCGTGAAAAGCAAAAGTCGCCTTAAACATTTCATAACTGACATTAGACCTGTCAATAAGTTGTGTTGGGTACATAAAATTATGGAAAATTCGTGTTTTTTTTTTGTTTTTGGCAAGAACTGATAAGGTAATTAACATGAATATTTAATTTTATAGTTTTGCAGAGTAAAAAAATAGGAAGGCCAACGAATGCCAAGCCAAAATATATATTTTTTATTAGACAAATATGTAGACTACTAAAAACTGTTAACCAAAAAAATCGCAAAAAATCGCGAAACTTATCCCAGCCAAAAATGTAAACCTCTGAGAAAAGAAAATATTAACAATTAATATGAATCTTAAGTTGTTTATCGCATGTATTGCTTGGACAATGAGCAAATTATATACATATGTAAACACTTTTAACAAATATTAAACGCCATGCATGGCGTTTAATATTTGTTAAAAGTGTTTACGCCGGTTTACGCCTACTTTTTCTTTTTATCCGTTTTTAATATTACATTAAGGTGGCCTAGATGCATTGTTAAAAATTGCTCAAAAGGCATTAAAAAATCACATTTAAGTCCAGAATTATGTTAAGAATCCGAGAATGTAAATATATAAAGGGGTTTCTATTTAATTTTTTGAACCTGGACCCATTTCCGGTGAAACCGGAAGTGACCGAAAAAATATGCGAAAACCTTCCTCTTTATACACCATTTACCTATTACCAACACTCTGTATTTCACTTTTTATCTGCTAAACGAAGCAACTGCGTTGAGTCAAATTGACCTATTTTCAGAAAAGGAATCTCTAGATTTATAATGTTCAATTTTCGGGATAAAACATAGTAACTATCGCGATATATCGATAGTAGGTATGCAGACATTACAAAATATTTTTTTCTGGCTAAACCGCTCATCGAACTTTTACAAGAGACAAAAAAGTTTTTAAACAAAGTAAGCTTTCTATTTCCTAGTAAACCATTATATCAACAGTAAAAAAATACAAGCGAAAATTAGTACCTAACCTTGCTTTTCTGATTATTCTAATTTTTAATTATAACTGAGTGTAGCACCAAACGACGCTAATTGGCAGTTAAAACCTATATTCCAAAAATATTAAAAATACATTAATACGTTATTAAGATATTAAAAAAAATAGTTATTTTTCAAAACTTTAAAGACCTCTAACGACTAAACGAAGCAACTTAGTATGTATAGGTAATTTGGGTTAAATCGACTTATTTTGATCCGTAGATAACGTTGGTATGGTTTGTTACACTAGTGTAAGATAACCCTGTATTTTATAAATTAATTTCCAAAAATACTAATGTGGCAACACTGGAAAATGAAAAAATAAATTATATAATTAATTACCAGCATTGCTTAGTCTCAAAGTTTAATTATTTTTAAAGTTTTAAGTAAATAGAAAAAAAATTGAATTAATGCAACCTAGTTTGGGCATTGGGCCCACAGTGCGCGTGTGTAAAACCTACAATTTTTGTGTTTTATTTTGCTTAAATATTGAATGTGCAAATCTTGATGTGTACTAAAGGTACAACTATTTATAAAATATACTTTTTTAAATATTCACTACAATTTAGTACAACTGGTAATAAAAACCAAGTGGCCCCCTACAGACAAAATTACGTATCATTAAAAGTTGATATTTTAAGCAGAGACAATACTTTTAAGTAAAGTTATTTATAATATCGACATGGATCTTGGTAAATAAAAAGAGCAAATCTATATTGAAGGAAGATGAATCCCAACATCTCGCTGTAGCTATTTGTGAAACATGCAAAAATTGCGTTGTGTGTTGTTTTCAAGTTTTGCTCCAATATAAATTACATACAATGTCTTACAATAATTTATATAACGCTTATAAATACGTTTTAACTTTGTCATGTACCCAGGTTTCCTGTGAAAGAACTTTTTCAAAGTTAAAATTTGTACAGAATAGACTAAGGAGTTGTCTTACACAAGAACACTTACTACTGATGTCCGTTGAAAAAGAAATTCTTGTAAATATAAATACTGATGTGATTATAGATAATATTGCCACCAAAAGCGAATCTTTTATCTTTGGACATACATTAGTTATCCATTGGATATATATTAGAGATACTTTGTTGAAATTGGGTTAATAACGATTTAAATCATATTTATTAATCATTACATAAATTTATCCTATAAGGGGCTATTTTAAAAAAGAAAAAAATATTTTTAATGTTTTTGGTTTTTTTTGAACATCCAGTGGATATCCAGTGGATATACATTAGATGTACAGTGGATATACTTTGGACATACATTAGTTATCCATTGGATATATATTAGAGATACTTTGTTGAAATTGGGTTAATAACGATTTAAATCATATTTATTAATCATTACATAAATTTATCCTAAAAGGGGCTATTTTAAAAAAGAAAAAAATATTTTTAATGTTTTTGTTTTTTTTTGAACATCTAGTATGGATATCCATTGGATATCCAATGGATATCGTAAAAGACATGGATGTTATATGGACATTGGGATAGCCACTGGATATCCATTGGATAGCGTGTTCTGTGTGGGATAGAAACTAACTCGCAAAGTTGTTGTTGCCCAAAATAAAAAACTAAATATGTACATTTTTAGGTAAAAAGTCAAAAAATTAAAATATGATAGGTACATACACTTTATTTAGGTAATTTCCTCATTGGTTGATGAAGAGCTTTAATTTACCAACGCATTTTTATAAGTAATTAATGCGTTTATTTCATTATTAAGGTAGCCTTATTATAACAGTTATTATTTTATTATAATTAAAACTTTCTTTTCACGTTAATTTAATAAAACATTTGGTTATACGGTATTAATCCCATTTTTTCCATTGCCACTTAAGGCAGAAAATTCTCAAAATATCGAATAAATAAAAATTGTGACCACGTTTTTCAAATAAAAAGAAAAATAAGTAGGTACCTAAGTACAACATTCAATTATTTTTATAATAGGTAGCATTGGTTTTGCAAAATACTACCTACCTTGTTTAATAGGAAATATTTCCACATATTTGACCTTGACGGTTGCACCAGTAAATTTTTTAGCCTTGCTGGAGAAAGTTACTGCTTCCATAAATAATTTAATGGATCCTTTAAATGCTAACTAATTGTAAATAGGTAAACTAAGTATATAGGTACCTATATATTTTAAAAAAAATTGATTATGAAACAAAATGTGTGCTAGTTTTATACCTAGTTTTATACCTATTTTGTAATTTTTTTGCAAAACTATTAATTATTAATGACGAAGTATCATAATGACCATATAATTTACCTTAAGTTTAATGCCAACTGACAAAATATAATTGTTACCAATATATGCAACAAATTTGTAATATTACGCAATTTTGCAAAACAAATAACTTAAGCCAATTGGCTTTAATGAAACGAAACAAAAATAGTAGGTAATTTCAGATAATATAAATATCTGCTTAGAAGAATAGACAGATAGAGAGACAGTTATATATAAGATATATAAGTCTTATTTTATATATAACTTATATAATATAAGATATTTATATCTTATATAAAGATATACCTAATAACATAGAAAAAGGATAATAATAATAATAAGAACAAATTTTCAATATCTTCGAACAGTTCTTGTTTTTATGGTATGCAACCAACACAGCATCAGTGACAAATGGTTGCATACGTACGTCATTTGAAGTCGACGAAAAGTAAGGTTATATTTTTATTTTTTCATTACACGTGCGTATTCCAACAAAATGCAACTACCGAAGCCCAAATTCGATTCAAAAAAGGTCGAAGAAATACTAACCAGAGAAAATAAGTTCATATCTCACCTATTTTCAATAGCAGTCGTTCCGGAACGTAAAGGCGAAAGTGACGATGAAAACGATGAAGATACCAAACAAAAATTCTTCAAAGGCGACAAAACGAGAGCTTCGTCGCTAAGCGAGTTACAAGAACGCCTTCAAGCGATTACAAGTAAAAAAACGTTATCGTACAAGGAGAAGTTGACGAAGAAAGGCCTGAAAAATCGAATGAAAAAGAAGAATAAGCGCGATCAAAAAAATGCCAGCGCCAAGTTGATACGTGCTCAAAAAGTAACAGAAAAAGATGTTAAAACTGAAGATGAAGATCCCAAACCCACCAAACCAGTTTTTAACAGTGAAGACAAGTTGGTATTTAGTAAATTTGATTTTTCTGACATTGGCAAGAAGAAGGTGAAAAAGGTTGAAAAAGACCCCAAAAAATTACTAGAAAACCTTAAGAAGGAGAAAGAGAAAATTTCACAGCTAAAACTGAGTGGTGATGTGGAAAAAGCCATAGAAATAAAAGAAAAAACATCATGGAAAAACGCCTTGGCAAAAGCGGAAGGTATCAAAGTTAAAGACGATCCTACTTTACTAAAGAAAACGCTGAAAAAACAGGAGCAAAAACAAAGATCGAGCAAGAAAAAGTGGGAGAACAGAATCGCCGGAGTGGAAAAGGCAAAGCAAGAAAAACAGAAGAAGAGAACAGAAAACATACAGAAGAAAAAAAAGGATAAGAAAACGCATAAGTTAAAAACAGCTGCTAAACGAGGAAAAATAATCCCTGGTTATTAAACATAGGTACATAAATTTTGTAAGAACTATAATAAATAATTTTTATTTTAATGTTTATATTATTTAATTTTAAATATTTTTATTTAATATTTCCGGATTTTTTTTCCATTGCTTGATTGCATAGAAAAATATAAGGATTTTCATTTTTCCAAAGTGGATGAAATTATCCAACATTTGATATAGGAACAAATGTTTAAAATTGGGTAAAAAACACAGACTGTGGTAAAAACCCAGTAAACATTTGTGATATTACGAAAAAGTCACGACGTGACATGTCACAACTTGATATCCAATTGCTGGCACAGTGATTAAGTTTGTCGTTTTATGACAAGCAGTGACACGCGCGTGATCTTTTTATGTGACCACCTGACCCCGCAGGGACGAAACTTTTCATTTAAATTACATTACTTTAATTTGCTCATAATACGTTAAATACGTATTATGTTATTATTGTTAGACAAAGACTTTTTTCTTTAATAAATAATATTTTTCTTTAATGGTTATAAGAAATTATTTCCGCAAAAATTTATCTATATATATATATAACTTTATTTTATATTTGTTTGCGATTTTGCAAGCGATTTTAGCCAAGTACGCATGTATGTATGCATATTGCTATAGTAAGGTATACATGGTGAACAATATATTGTATACTCCATTTGCTCTAGAATAAATTTAAGGTGTAAAACTGTTATGAATATTGTCAAGAGTGAAAAGATGTTTTTGAGGTTTTTAAATGTCAATAGGAATTATACTATAAGAAATATCATACTTTGTCCAAAAACAAAAAACTGGGAGAAATTCTGGATTTACTGAAACCATTGAATTTACTGTCCCAACTTATATGCGACGGGTCTCGTATACATATATTTATGTATACATATACAGGGTGCACGGCACGGCACGTGCAGGTTGGTTAAGCCATTAAACTGAAGAAAAGTTATGTAATTACAAGTCTCCATAATTAAAACAAAAATCTATTAAAAACCAAAATTTGTTACAACTTTGTTATTCCTGAGAATTAAAAAAAGTAAGTTTCGCGTTTTCTCCATTAAAAATTTAAAATTTTTTTTGTCTATTTGATTTTGAGTTATCACCACCATCTTTGGTTTTGCTATGGCTGCCATAATACAATTTTACATAGTTGGATAGTAAATAAATCGATTTATTAAACTATATATTATATACATATATATAGTATATAAGTTTATGGCGCACCATCGTCAATTTAAAAACAAAAGATGGTAAAAGTAACGAATAAATTGGATGAAAATGTAGATAAATGTGTATGTTAACAAGTCAAACTTACTTTTTTTTAATTCCCAGGAATAACAAAGCTATAAAGATTTTTGGTTTAAAAGGCTCTTAGTTTTTTTCAATTGAACTTTTAAAAGTTTTGAGAACGGCTGCCTTTTTTTTCAATTTATAAATTTCATACGCATAATAAAAAAAATGACGAGACTTAAGCCGGGTCTACAATTGTCGCAGGGGTCCGATCGCAGAACATAAGCTTGCGCAAAGCACCCCGCGACCTGGCGATGCATCGCGATGGAGCAAGGTTCTTTTGTCAGCTGGGTGCTTTGCGCAAGCTTAAGTTCTGCGATCTGCGACCTGCGACAATTGTAGACCCGGCTTTATGATTCGATACTTTACGACACGTCACTTTTATCTTTAACGATATCGTAATGACGAGTCGTCATGATTAAAAAAAATTGTTTTATCTTTGTTTCTCAGAATTGAATGAAATAATTGCATTTTATATATAATTCTGATAATAAACTCGCTGCAATATAAATTTAGTTCAATAATTAAAATAAATTGACGACGTCATACGATTAGGATGACGATAGATAGAATTATTTCAAGTGACAATCGTCATAACAAGTAGTTTAAGCTGCTAAATCAAAAAAATATACATAAAAGCAGCATACAAGTATAATTTCTATACATTTTAATTTAATAGTAAACAGAACTCGCAAAAATAAGAAGAAAACTTTATATGAACTTGCTTTAAAGATTAATTTTGAAGAAAAAAATTAAATTCGTTTCCGTTTTATTTTTAATCTATAAATAATAATAAATTTATAGCATACCCAAATTTTATTTTTAAATATCTATTTGGGATGTTCCAGCGCCGCCTTTGGATTTAATTTAATTTACATTAAAGTAAGCCCTTTGCCCACTACTAAAAACCTAAAAGGTTTTTATGAAATTCGCCCAAAAAATAAATATTTTTTTAAATAACTTTACCACCCTGTCTCTAGAAAACGAAGCTTTAAAACATACATACTTTTCTTCTGATATTTTCGATTTCTATAGATCACTAAATTTTCCCAATTAAAATCTGCGACACCCTGTATACATGTAGGTATTGTACTTATAGGATACTTGTTGGTAGTGTGCAAATTTGTATTTTTACTATTATATTGACTGTTAATATTTTAGCCCATAATTTTATTTCACCCAAGGCCGGAAGTATGTTGAAGCTGTGATATACGATAAGAGGGTCGTCGCTATTGTTACTAGCGATGCAACGTGTTTTAAAAGACGTTGCATCGCTATTAACGATAGCGACGCCGCTTTTTTCGTTTATCACAGCTCCAACATATTTTAAATATTCCCCTGCACTTTCGCTCGCGCGTGCGCACTAGCTATGTCACGGAGCGATATCCCATTGAGTGCGTATTGTGCTTGAATGTCACGACTTGATATCCCATTGATTGTGTATTGTGGAAACATATGAATGCGCCAGTGATATCACGATGTCACGACGGGATTTCGGAGTGATTTCAATACGCAATCACAAATGTTTACTGGGAAATAACAAAACTACAGACTGCCAAAGTTGAGAACTTAAATTAACACGACTTTATATTTTGTAGATTATCTAGAAAAATTAATACTGGAACATATAGGTAATTATATCCTTAATGATCCCAAGCAACAATTTAAGTATTTGTTACGTATATGGGACTATTGAAGAAACTTCAAAGTGTTTTGCGACAGTCGCCGGTCTCTTTTTATTACTCTTTCATTACTACGTTACGACTAAAGTGGGGAACAATTATTGAGTTCCAAAAAGGTAGCAAATATGTCACTAGCTACCAACCCTGCTACTATTTGGGACGTAGCTGCTACGTTACTAGAACGTTCCAATATCGTTGCTAGAGGGTTATAATTACTTTTATTATTTGTTTTTACTTCTATATTAACTGTCTTTGTCAAACTTATATTAGATTATACTATCCCTCCTTTTTTAAATGGAACCACTACGGACTTGGCTTTTCAATGTCGTCGTTTATTAAATATGTACTGGTAGTTTATAACTTCCAGAATAACAATATAATGTTTAATTAGACAGGTAGATTTATAAACCCTTTAAATTTTACTGTTGAACTTATGAATTTAGTTTTTGTAAAATAAATGCGCTTCATCAATATTTAAGTATAAACAAATTATTTATTTAGTAATGTTTATAAATAAAAAAATCTTAATATATATTATTATTTTTTATATTTAATTATTAATACCGTCTATTACCAACAATATTTCTATTTATTAAAAAGTAAACAACCATTTACAAACAATTAAAATAATTTAATATTTACATTACCACGTGGTACTGTACAGTAAAAAATGGCCGATAAGAAGCATTTTCCTTTGAAGTAGTTTTCGCTACTTTAAAGGTTTTTTCCACTTTACGGTTGTTTTGGTTAGTACCATAAACGTTCCAAATACTAAAATAATAACTTTTAAGTTATTAACTTTGTAGTTTTTAACTCATGTTCCAGTTTCGAGATTTTAACTTGCAAAGGGACTACAAAGTAAAAATAATTATAATGTAATCTTTAGGTAGCAACCGAAAGTAACTGCTACAAATTAAATTTACTTGAAAGTTTTTTTTACTTATAACATCTTTTTTAAAGTTGCAAAGTCTTCTTGGGGGCAACCAAGTTTTACTTAAATGTTTATTACTTTATAGTAACAATTTAAGGAAAAATTAAGTTTCTGTTACAAAATATTGCTATTTAAAAGTTAGAATTACTTTTAAGTAAAAATTAAAGTAGCTGTTTAGTATACTTAACTAATTTAAAGTTATCACCACTTTGGCAATGGTTTTTGGAACCAAAAATGCTGCTTGGGATGTTTAAATTTTCCAAAAGTGGATGAAATTATCTAAAATTTGATATAAATATCTTTACAATTGGGTAAACAATAAATCAACTTACATACTGTCAAAGCTGGTCTTAATTTTAAGACACTAAAATTGTCACGACTTTATATTTTATGGATTATCTGTTCCCAGATAGCAAAATGTAGCACAGTGAGTGCACGCGTGCGTCTTTAAACGGCCCGCGTGCGCGCAGATCACTACACAGATGCGCTTACATATGCGTCTCATATGCAGCGCACGTGTGCCGGCGCAAGAAAATGCATATATAACGACGGGTTTAATGTAAAATGGCACAAGCGCCAAATTTTTCAAAAAATTGTGTATACGTTTTATGGTGTACTTATTTGGTATTAATTATAAGGTTAAAATAATCAAACATTATATAGTAATACCATTTTTTTACGACCACTATGTAAGTCACATTTCGTATTGGCATCGTTGCCACGTGTGACATCATTTATGGACGACCCCCTTAGAAAATGAATCTTTTCATTGGCAAGGCAAAACACGAATGAAAAGTGACATTTCTGTGTGAAAAGTGACAAGTCTGTGTGAAAAGAAATTGACAGCCTCGTTTGTCATTAATTCGTTTCATTAATTTGTATTGTATTTGTACAGTTGTATTCAATAAAAAAGCGTACAAGAATTAGAATGAGAGAAAACGTGTCAAAATAATATTATTGCTTAAAACCGGCTTATCACTGACATAAGTCATTAAAATAATTACTATAGGTTATAAAGAGCATTGACGTCGTAGGTTAATTAAATAATATTACAAAAATTATTAATTTTTAATATAGATTTTTTATTTCTATTATACCACGGTACGAATTGACCATTCTTCTTCGATTCTTGATACTATTTGAGCCTTTTAAACTGACGAGGCATTTTTATTTTCTACTGTCAGTTATAGTGACTTAAGTCAGTGGAAAGCCGGTTTTACGCAATAATGTTGACAGTTTTCTCTCATTCTACGCTTTTTTAATGAATACAACTGTATATCTAATTAGATCTAATATTTAAATATCATTTAGAACACAATTCATTGTGTTTGTATAATAAATTTTTAGTGCCTTTATTTAAATTGATAATTATCAATTAAGTTTATTGATTTTACCTTAAAATTTTTAAAAATTAAAAGAATAAGATGAAATAATTTTAACAGCTGTCAAACACGTTTTTAGGTTATTGTGTTTTGTATTTGAATATAATAAAAAATAAAAGGGTCGTAGAAAAAACATTGTTTCACTTGTGAGAAAAGCTTTCTTCAAGCTCGTGTTAATGCACACTCGGCCTAAAGGCCTCGTGAGCAACTTAAACACTTGCATGAATTTATTTATTATTATTTATTATTATTATTTATTTTTAAAGGCGCCAAAAGTAAAGAAACCAAATATTTTTTCTAAAATAAACAAACAAAAAAATAGTAACGGTAGCGTAACCATTATTTTTGATAACTTCTGCACATAAGGAATTTTTTATATATATATTTTTAAAAGTAATTTTTTTAAACTAAATCTAAGCATGGCACTGGATTCACCACCTCTCAAAACGACCCTTTATTAAATTTTAAATTTATTGAAGAAACATTGAAATAAAATTAAACTTATATTAATAGTACCATATGGTAACATAATATGTTACTATTATAATAATAAACTATAGTTTAATTTTATTTCAATGTTTTTTTCATGGATAACTTGACAGAATAAATTTTGGTAGTTAAGTATTGTGCATTTTTCTACTTAAAAAATAAAAAAATAATAAAATTTATATACTTCATATTTGATAGATTATCTCGGAAAATTAATATTGTTGCATAAAAGGATATTTACATTTTCCAAAATTGGATGAAATTATCTAAAATTTGATCTAAATTTTAAGAAAACTAAAATTGACAAATTTAATCTGAAAAATTAGTACTTACCTTTTCTGGTGGATAAAATTCCTGAAATATACAAAATTGGATGGCTGAAATGATGAATAAAAACAAAGGGTAACTTTTTTCTTATTTATTGTATAAACGTCCACTAATAATAAAATTATTTCTTGGCTGCCGCCAATTCATCTTCGCGCTGGTAGTTTTGAAGAATCTCCTGTTTTTTGGTGGCAATACGTTCTTCACGACGCTCACGGGCCTGTTTGGTCTTGAGTCTTCTTGCGTTGGCCTGGTCGCTGAGCATCTTGGCGCGCGCCTTCTCGGCCTTCTTCTTGTGGATGTATTCCATCAACACTCTCTTGTTCTTGAACACATTACCTTTGGTCTTCATGTACAAGGCGTGGTACAGATGTCTGTCGATCTTTTTTGCCTCGCGGTACTTCTTCAGGAGTCTTCTGAGCACGCGCATGCGTTGCACCCATAATTCCTTAGGAAAAAGTTATACAGGGTGTTGAAATTTTAGAAAAAAAATCGTTTTTTTAGATTATCTCTGGAACCGTTTATCGTACAAAAAACAGCTTTTGTAAGCATTTTCTACTCATAATAAGCTATGTTTTGTGCTAGAAAAATTTTTTTTTTCTCATAATTGGTGGAGATTTTGAAGGGGTAGCGGGTGTTTTTCTCCTCAACTTCAACGCCCCTGAAAAAAGTACCGCCAATGATTTCTACAGAAAAAAGGTACTCTTGGTCATAAGCTCTAAAGTTGACCGTTTTCGAGAAAAATCAACTTTTATGTTTAAAAACATGGTCAATTTTTTGAAAAAAATTTTTTATTACTAATTAAACAAAATTTATTTTAACGTTAGAAAAAGTAACAAAACCAAACGATAATTGCAAAATTAAAAAAAAAATAAAAAATGATTTTTTACTCAAATGCTGAAATGTGCGAAATGCGTTACCTTTACGGTTTGGAGAATTAAGCAAAGACAACTTTTAAATCATTTTTTATTTTGCAATTATGGTTTGGTTTTGTTACTTGTCCTAACGTTAAAATAAATTATGTTTAATTAGTAAAAAAAAAATATTTTTTTTTAAATTTACCATGTTTTTAAACATAAAAGTTGATTTTTCTCGAAAACGGTCAACTTTAGAGCTTATGACCAGGAGAACCTTTTTTGTGTAGAAAACATTGGCGGTTCGAATGGGCCTCTCAAAACCGTACTTTTTTCAGGGGCATAGAAGTTAAGGAGAAAAACACCCGCTACCCCTTCAAAATCTCCACCAATTATGAGGAAAAAATTTTTTTTAGCACAAAACATAGCTTATTTTGAGTAGAAAATGCTTACAAAAGCTGTTTTTTGTACGATAAACGGTTCCGGAGATATTCGAAAAAAAACGAATTTTTTTCTAAAATTTCAACACCCTGTATCTCGAAAATTGTGCATTTTAGAGCGTAACTTAATAGCGACTTTTTTCATCTTTTTGGATGAGCTATCACATCCTGAAGTCCTGCGCATATATTATGAAACACCCTGTATTTCCCAACTGTTTTTTTAAACAGTGTAGGTAAAACAAAACTTCCAAACTTTTTTCTGACTTACCTTTTGGGGCATACGGGCGTTTGCTGTACCCTTCCTTTTACCAAAACCGCAGTGCCTACCCTTTCTTCTGGCTTCCGTGTTTTTACGTACACGAGCACGGGAGTGCACTGCCACAGGCTTCTTGATAATAAGACCATCTTTAATCAATTTACGGATATTTTGTCCTAAAAAAAAGTCAATTGTTAGTCCCCAATTTCAAAATTTTAGTTCATTGGAATATTATTTATTTGTTTATATATTAACAATTGTTTAAACCCCACTAAATTTCACTTACTTGAGTTGGTGTTGGCAATCTCGTTGATTTCATTAGGATCCAACCATACCTTCTTTTTACCGCATCTCATAACAGAGGCTGCAAGCCTCTTCTGAAGTTTTAAGGAACTACAAAAAAAATAGGGTTAAGTTAAACATCATGAAACATTATAACGTCAATTTTTAACATTTATCGCAAACAAACCATAAAATTAACGCCTATATGGCATAAAAACACTTTTAAATGAACACAACAACTGAAAAAGTGATATATTGCCATCACCATGTGGTGCAATATTTTCAAGCGAAATTATTAACAATATAACACTCATCGCTACCAAACTAATGGAATAACAGTTAAAGGAACGTATAAATATTTTATTTTAATACTTAAAACTTATAAAAATATAAGCAAAATGGTGTTTTTAACTCCTTACCTCATTTTTCACACGCACTTCACAACGTGTTTCAGAAAAAGGAAGAGGGTCTTGTCGTTTTACCGGTTCAGCCAAAATAACAAAACGAAAATTACCAGATGCAACTGCGCGCTAAATTCAAAAGTTACACTATATTTCCAACCATTCTCTTAATATATTTACAATATTAACACAAATTAATAAAAAAATATTCTTAATATTATTAATAAGTCAATATGTGTTTAATAGAGTATTTTAAACAGCTGGATTAATTAATTAAAATATCTACAATGTGGCAACAGTGTTGCGGTTGTCGGTGACAGCTTGTTACCAACCAAATAAATGCATTGTTGCACATTTCTTTAATTTTATTAAACCGGTTGAAAATTGCATCATTTAAATAAATTAAACACCAGTTAACAAATAATTTTAAAACCATAAATTTAATCGATTAAAATGAGTGGTGACAATAAGGAAGGTATAAATAATACAATAATAACGAAAATTGATTGAGGCATATGGACAATATTGAAAAAATGATTGTTTTAGCTATTTACACGTCCGAAAAAAATGGAAACGATGAAACCGGTGAAGGAACTGAATCAAAACCATTCAAAACAATTCTTCAGGCAATGCGAAAAGCAGGAGCAGAACCTTTCCCCATTATTTATGTTGACGGCAAAGAGGAGGGTGTGAAATACGATGTAGCAGCAAAATCTCAGTTGAAAAAAATACAAAAAATATGGATGAGAGAGAATTACAAGCAGGCTGATAAATCCAAAAGGGAGGAAGATGATGCAGGAAAAAGGGAGAAAAATATGGATGAAGCAAAGAAAATTGTCATCGAAGAGGATAAATCATTGCCGGAAGCAAAAAGGATAAGAATTATTGAGGGTTAGTTTTATTTTCAAAGTAGTTGGACAACATAGACAGTTTAAACAGTTTTTTAATTATTTTTTGATTATTTTAAATTTTACAAGTTTGGGTTGTTTTAAAAATAATTTAAGGACATTTTTTAAACTGTTTTTAGATAGTTTTGCACTATTTATTTTAAAAATATGATTTAGACAGTTAAGGACATTTTTAGACAGTTCCAATTTAATTGAGATCATTTGAGACAGTTATTTTACAGTGGTTTTATACAATTTGGGGACATTTTTTGGTCCAAAAAGACCCAAATTGTCATGTCATGGGTTATTTTATACAATTTTAAAACAATTAGTCATTTTAGAAAGTAATTTTAGATGGTTCCTAAACAGGTTCCTTTTGGACAATTCTAAACAATTAGGGTTTTAGACAGTTCCTATAAAGTTTGGGTCATTGTAGACAGTTCTAATACAATTACGGTCATTTAAGATGGTTTTGGGACATTTCTAGACAGTTCTTAATACAATTACGTTTATTTTAGACATTTCCTGTACAGTTTTAATACAATTGGGGTAATTTTAGATAGTTTTGGGATAGTGTTATAATACAATTAGGGTCATTTTAGACAGTTCTTAAACACTGATTTTCTTTTAGACATTTCTAAACAATTAGGGTTTTAGAGTTCCTATAATATTTGGGTCATTTTAGACATTTGGGGTCATTTTAGATAGGTTCAGGATATTCTTATTGTTGTAATACAATTAGTCATTTTAGGCAGGTCTTATAATTATACACTTTGGGTCATTTTAGACAGTTCTAATTTAATTAGGATCATTTAAGACAATTATTATGCAGTTTGGGTTACTTTAGACAGTTGTAATGCAATCAGGGTTTATTTTTAGACAGTTACACAAAAAAGACCCAAATTGTCATGTCATGTTTATTTTATGCACAGTTTGGTTCTTTTTGGTAATTTCTAAACAATTAAGGTTTTAGACAGTTCCCATACAGATTGGGTCATTTTAGACAGTTCTTATTCAATTAGGAAAATTTTAGATAGTTTTGGAACATTTAATACAGCTTGGGTAATTTTGTGCCAAAAAGATCCAAATTGTCATGTTATGGGTTATTTTATCCAGTTGTGAAAGTTTATGGTTTTAGATCCTATACAATTTTGGACAGTTCTAAATACAATTACATTCATTTTATACAGTTTCTGTACAGTTCAGATTATTTTATGGTTTTTAATACAATTGGGGTCATTTTATATAGTTTCAGGATATATTTAATGTTCTCATACAATTAGGGTCATTTTAGACAGGTATTATACACTGGGTCATTTCAGATATAGTTTGTCATTGTAGAAAATTCTAATACAATTGCGGTCATTTTAGATAGTTTTGGGACATTTTTAGACAGTTATTAATACAATTACGTTTATTTTAGACATTTCCTGTACAGTTTTGGTTATTTTAGACAGTTTTAATACAATTATGGTCATTTTAGACAGTTCTTATGTAATTGGGAAAATTTTAGATAGTTTAAGACATTTTAATAGAACTTGGGTAATTTTGAGTCAAAAAGACCTAAATTGTCATGTTATGGGTTATTTTATGCAGTTGTGAAAGTTTTAACACAATTAGAGTCATTTAGACAATTCTTAAACAGTTCGGTTTCTTTTAGACAATTCTAAACAATTATGGTTTTAGACCCTATACAATTTTAGACAGTTCTAAATACAATTATTTTTATTTTAGACACCTCCTGTACAGTTCAGATTATTTTATACAGTTTTAAATACAATTGGGGTAATTTTACATAGTTTCAGGATATTTTTAATGTTCTCATACAATTAGGGTCATTTGAGACAGGTCATTTCAGATATTTCTAATTTAGTAAGGGTTTTTTGAGATAGTTATTAAACAGTTTGGGTCAATGTATACAATTCTAAAACAATTGCGGTCATTTTAGATAGTTTTGGGAGATTTTTAGACAGTTTGAATACAACGGGTTATTTTGATCCAAAAAGACCCAAATTGTCATGGGTTATTTTATGAAGTCATTTAAACAGTTCCTAAACAGTTTTTTTAGACGCGTTTCCAAAGAATTAGGGTTTTAGACAGTTCCTATACAATTTGGGTCATTTTAGACATTTTTAATACATTTGGGTTCTTTTTAGATAGTTTCGGGATATTCTTAGTGTTCTAATAAGACATTTTAGATAGTTCTAATTGAATTAGGATCATTTGAGACAGTTATTATACAGTTTGAGTTTCACGCCACACCACGTTCTTGCTACATACGTTTCGTATAAAATCACCACTTTAAAGTTCCCTTCTTCAAAAGCAGACATGTTACCAAATAATCGCCATTGTAGGGAAATAAATGTGTAGTTTTAAACAAATAATTCTGGTTATTACCGCACCAAATTTAACATGTTGGGCTTGCTTATATTTTAAGCTATAAAACCCCGTTTAACAGTAAAATTTAATTCGTGTTAATTTTATGTTTTTGGATTAATTTAATTCCAGTTATTATTTGCAAGTTGTACTCTTACAATATGGTAGTTCAGTGTTAGTTTAATATCCAGTCAGAGAAAGCAAAGATAATAAGATAAATACGAGATAAATAATATACGGATACGGATAAATAATATGGTGAAAAGAGACGGGGATAGAAAGTAAATATTAGTAAAGTTACGATTAAGTTTTGGCCACTATACCTCAACGTTATAGTAACGTAATCAAAACGTGGTATTAACGTGTCTGTATACAATTCAAGAACATTGTTGGAACGTAACTAACACTAAAAAAGTGTTCCCCATTTTAGTCACTTCCACGTAATAGAACCGTTTCTACCACATGGCAGAGATTTTGGCAATATACTTTCAACACGTTTTAAGCACTATAAATGCAACTTGAGTATCTTCATTGAGTAAGTACTGTAAAAATGTCAAAAACGTCTCATACACTTGCAGGTGAAAAATATAGAGACCAGCGCGTCAAAATGTACGGGTGGGCTCACAGGATCAGGAGGCAGGGAAAAAACTTGATGTTCCTGACCCTAAGGGACGGCACCGGTTTTCTGCAATCCGTTTTGAACGACAAACTATGCCAAACCTACAACGCCTTGATGCTGTCCACGGAATCCTCCGTGGTGTTGTACGGAGTCTTGAAAGCTGTGCCCGAAGGAAAAACGGTAATAAACATACTTATACGCTAAAGAAGTATCGCTAGTAGCGCCACCACTCGGCTGTTATCATCGCAACAAAAATATAACTTTTAATAATCAGCTGATAAACGCTTATGTTACAATAGACTAGGCCAAAAAAATCATCTATTTTTTTTTGAAAAGTATATCGAAAATATGGTTTGGAGTGACAAAAAAAAAATTCGGTCAGATGAACCGTTTAACTAAAATCATGCCTTAAAAATTGGTATAGTTTTACATTTTGATCTTTTAACTTTGGAATTTTGTAATTCATGTAAAAATCAGTACCCAGAAAAAAACCGAAGAATATTCTTATGGGAAATCAAATGCTTTACAAAAAAGCCTCTTAACATTTTTGGCTAAATTCACTCAATCAAGTTATTCAAGGTTAAAGTTGAAGTCAAAACGAAATTCTTGTTTTTTCCTCTGAAGATTTATTTTTTATGGGTGATAATTTGATTTTTTTCTTTATAAATGTGTATTATATAACTAATTAACAATTTCCAATAAAAAAACAACATGATTGTTATTATTTAAACGATTAAATAGGTAACAGTAAAAATAATATTTTCTAAAGAAAATAGCGTCTTAAAGCGACTATTTCCCTCGTCTTAATTACGACCAATCACAAACGCGCAATTTTGAATTACAAATGGTATCTAGGTGGAAAAACTGTATGACAGCACCTGTCAGCAGTTTATTCGAGTTTACCCGCGGCAAAACTTGACAGCAGTTGTCAACAAAAATTGCAATTTATATTTTAATTGTTTACTGTTACTCATGAAATAGTCTTGTCAAATACCATTCGGGCATCTAATTTTTCCTGTGAAAAAAATCGAAAAAACACAATGCTAAGTAATATTTTTTAACAAAATGCATTCGTGCAGGTGTAAAAATCCTCCTCTTCGACTCGGATTTTTGTTGCCACCAGCACTCATGCTTTTTGTTAAAATATTACTTAGCAACGTGTTTTTTCGATTCTTTTCGGAAAAATTAAATGCCCTTATGATATTACTTACGGTAAAATAATTCAAGTTTTTAACTGACTCAAAAAAAAGAAGAATTTCGTTTTGACTTCAAATTTACCTTGAATAACTTTTGATGGAGTGAATTTAGCCAAAAATGTTAGGAGACTTTTTTTGTAGAGCATTTGATTTTCCATAAGAATATCTATCGGATTTTTTCCGGGTACTGATTTTTATATGAATTACAAAATTAAAAAGTTAAAAGATCAAATCGTAAAACTATGCCAATTTTTAAGGCATGATTGTAAGAAAACGGTTCATTAGACGGGAAATTCCAATCAAACCTTTTTTGTAGAACATTCAATTTTCTTCAAAAAAGATTCTTAAGTCAATTTTGTTAAACTCAATGGTTTCTGAGCTCTGAGACAAAAACTCTAAAATTGCGATGTTAGACCTCTTAATATTAATATTATGGACTCAAACTTTCACCATATTTTTTTTTGTCACTCCAAACAATATTTTCTATATACTTTACAAAAAAAAATAGTCGATTTCTTTGGCCCAGTCTAATGTTACAAGCGAGTGTTTTTGAGAATAAAGCCGAAAAATGTTAAAAAATATCGAAAAAAAAACCGAAAAAACCGTGGCTCGATTTGCTGTGTTGGGTGTATTTCGAGAGTAAATCCTGGGTTGAGTTTTTACCCGTTTTCCAATAAACAGTTTTAATCTGAATGAAGAAATAAATTGCATACAGTCTCTGTAAATATAAATTGTACCTATTAGATACAATAAATACACATTTTACTAGTGAAAAGTGTAAACATTTCAATTCAGTAAAAATCGTCAAACAAATAAGTCGTCTAAATTTAAACAGGATTTAGCATTATTAAAAGCAAAAGAAAGTCTCCACTCAACGGTAAAATATCATTATACACTCACGTGCAAAATAATCGATCCACACAAAATTTCGATGAATTTCAATCGCAAATAATTATTATTTGATGTCGGATTTAAACGAATATTAAAGAATATTGTAGATAAATTAATGGACAATCGCTCACATTTTAAAAAAATACTAAAAAATAGACGTACGTTTATAATATACACGTTTAAACAAAAATATGTTTTTTACCATAAGTTTAAGACACTCTGTAGAGTGGCAAAACCGTATATTTTTCTAAACTAAGTTTTACTTATCAAGTCACATCTATTCTTAACAGTTTTGTTTTTGGTTCACCTCGATATATTTATTTTTGTGGAAAAAATGGATTTTTTTAAAAAACATTGCAATTTCCAATCTTTTTCTGTATGAAGAACTAAGGTTGCTATGGTCCATCCTTAGGCTATGGAGAATGACAGTGACAGTTTTTTTTAATCATCCCATACTTGGACATGTCATACACGGCTTAATTTACAAAAAACAAGTTGATAGCTTTTGAAAGCTGTATATGACATGTCCAAGTATGGGATGATTCAACAAAACTGTCACTGTCATCCTCCATAGGCTATGGATGGACCATAGCAACCTTAGTTCTTCATACAGAAAAATATTGGAAATTGCAATGTTTTTTTAAAAAACCCATATTTTCCACAAAAATAAATATATCGAGGTGAACCAAAAACAAAACTGTTAAGAGTATATGTGACTTGTTAAATAAAACTTAATTTACAACAATATACGGTTTTGCCACTCTACAGAGTGTCTTAAACTTAGTTCTTCATATAGGAAAATATTGGAAATTGCAATGTTTTTTTTTAAAAATCTATATTTTCCACAAAAATAAATATATCAAGGTAAACCAAAAAAAAAACTGTTAAAAATAGATGTGACTTAATAATTAAAACTTAATTTAGAACAATATACGGTTTTGCCACTCTACAGAGTGTCTTAAACTTATGGTAAAAAACATATTTTTGTTTAAACCTTTATATTATAAACGTACCTGTATTTTTTACTAATTTTTAAAATGTGAGCGATTGTCCATTAATTTATCTACAATATTCTTTAATATTTGTTTAAATCCGAAATCAAATAAAAAAGTTATTTGCGATTGAAATTCATCGAAAATTTGTGTGGGTCGATTATTTTGCCTGTGAGTGTATATAAGCATTTAAGCGTTGAGTTTCTTAATCAATGATATAAGGAATAATCAATCGAAATCGAGTACTAAGTTTTTTAATTTTTTCCTTGCAACGTAAAACACAAATAACGCGCGATTTAGCTGTGCAATTGAACAAAATTTGTCGAGTAAGACTTCTGCCTTCCCCTCTTTTGTGAAAAAACTAACTATTTATTTATTTAAAAATTATGTACAGTTCGTATGCCTTAAATGTATTGTTGACAATTCTTAAATTCACGCAATGCTTTTGAGGCAGATGGCGCGCGCGTTGCGAAAACCCGATACTTCTTTAGCGTATTCGGTCATTGTTTCTATTGCTTATCGTTTAACTTTAGGCACCGGGTGGTCACGAGCTCCACGTCGATTTCTGGGAACTAATCGGTTTGGCGCCACCTGGCGGCGCCGATTCCATACTGAACGAACAGGCGTTGCCAGATGTACAAGCCGAAAACCGCCATATAATGATTCGCGGCGAGAATACGTCGAAAGTTTTGTTGATGAGGTCGGTTTTGCTGAAGGCTTTCAGGTAAAAAATAATGATTTTGTTTATCAAGTGTTTTTTGAAATGTATTATTCGTATTTCAGGGATCATTATGTGGATAGAGGTTATTGTGAAATAACCCCACCTTCAATTGTGCAAACACAAGTGGAGGGGGGGTCCACTTTATTCAAGATGGACTATTTTGGGTATGTTTAAAAAAAACAATAAAAAATTATTAGTTTTGATTTTTGTTTTTTAAAACGTTTTTTTAACTATAAAATTACTTGCTATAACTAAAAATTAACAACTATTAAATTAAGCTAAACAAAATTTAAAGGGAATTGAAAAAAATATTTAAATAATAAAAAACAATTTTTTTTAAAAGCACAATTTTTTCAAATGGCCATTTTGGGTAAGTTTTGACTTTTATTTTCCTAAGCGTCGTTTTTATCTAAAATTAAGCTAAAAAAAAATGAAATAAAATATTAAAAAATAAGAACAAATTACAAAAAATAAAAAAATCAACAAAAATAATAATAATAATTTTTAAATTTTATTTTTCAAAACGTTTTTTAACCATAAAATTAAGCCTAAAAATAAAAGAAAAGAAAAAAATCAATAACAAAAAAATATAAAATGACAATTTTAGGAAAGCTTTACCTACTTATATTTTTTTAAATGTCGATTTTTACCTAAAATAAAATTTAGCTAAAATATTAAATAAAATTTATTTAATATTTTAGCTAAATTTTATTTTAGGTAAAAATCGACATTTAAAAAAATATAAGTAGGTAAAGCTTTCCTAAAATTGTCATTTTATATTTTTTTGTTATTGATTTTTTTCTTTTGTTTTATTTTTAGGCTTAATTTTATGGTTAAAAAACGTTTTGAAAAATAAAATTTAAAAATTATTATTATTATTTTTTTTTCGTTATTTTTGTTAATTCATTAATTTGATTCGATTTTTTTAAGCTAGTAAAAAACGACGGTTTAAAAAATAAAATTCTAATCTTACCCAAGATTATCTTTTTTTAATTTTTATTTCAGTTAGTTTTATTAAATAAAACTAACTGAAATAAAAATTAAAAAAAGATAATCTTGGGTAAGATTAGAATTTTATTTTTTAAACCGTCGTTTTTTACTAGCTTAAAAAAATCGAATCAAATTAATGAATTAACAAAAATAACGAAAAAAAAAATTTAACAATAAAATGGAGCTAACAAAAAATAAAAAGAAATTTTTTTCAAATGACTATTTTGGGTAAGTTTTGACTTTTATTTTCCTAAGCGTCGTTTTTATCTAAAATTAAGCTAAAAAAAATAAAAGAAAATATTAAAAAATAAGAACAAATTACAAAAAATAAAAAAATCAACAAAAATAATAATAATAATTTTTGAATTTTATTTTTCAAAACTTTGTTTTAACCATAAAATTAGGCTTAAAAATAAAAGACAAGAAAAAAATCAATAACAAAAAAATATAAAATGACAATTTTTGGGAAAGCTTTACTTATATTTTTTAAAACGTCGATTTTTACCTATAAAATCAGACTTAAAAAAAAATTAAACATAATTTTGGGTTGGTATATATTTATAATAAAGTGTCTTCTTAAAATATAAAATTTAGCTATAATATTAAATAAATAAAACTAACTGATATAAAAATTAAAAAAAGATAATCTTGGGTAAGATTAGAATTTTATTTTTTAAACCGTCATTTTTTACTAGCTTAAAAAAATCGAATCAAAGAAATTAATAAATTATTAAAAATAATAAAAAAAAATCTAACAATAAAATTGAGGTTACAAAAATTATGAAAAAAAATCAAAAGAACAAAAAGAATCAACAAAAAGGACGATTTTGACTTTTATTTTTTAAAACGTCGAAATTAACCTATAAAATCACTGGCTTGTAAAAATTAATAAAAAAATCAAATAAAAAAATTAACAAAATATTTTTTTTAAATTACTCGACTTTTATTTTTCTTGGCGTCGTTTGTAACTAAAAAAAATTAAGCTAAAAAGTAAAGTACAATATTAAAAATTTAAAAAACTAAAGAAAATGCAAAAAATTAACAAAAATAATTTTAAAAATTATCATTTTAAGGTTTGACTTTTATATTTTAAAACGTCGTTTTTTAACCATACGATAAAAAATCAATAAAAAATATAATTAAATAAAAAATTAACGAAAATTAAAATGGCTGTATAGGGTAAGTTTTGACTTTTTTACAATGCGTCATTTTTAACATTAAATTAAAAATAACAAAAATACATTTTAGTTTTTAAACCGTATTTTTTAACTATAATATTGAGGTAATAAAATTAAGAAAAAAATACAACAACAAATTAAAAGAAAGTTTTAACAAATAACGAAAAATAATAAAAATAAACAAAAAACAATTTTTGACGAGCTTTGACTTTTATTTTTTAAAACGTCGTTTTTTACCTACAAAATTTATTAATACAAATGTTGATAATAACGTCAATGTTGAAATTTGGTTTTCGATATTATTAAACAACTTTAGAAAAAGCACAAAATTTAAATTTCTGGGGTTTTTTAGGGCGGGAAATTAAATTTCTTAAAAAAAGTTATGTAGGTTATAGACGTTTCAGTAAAAATATTAATTTTTTCATTTATTTACATTTAATTTTCTGGTTTCCGGTTTTGATAATTTTTTAATGTTTATCTTTTCTTTTTAATAAAAAACCCGTTTTATTGTCAAATTTCGTCCGTTTTAAATTTACTTAAAATTTTGAACCACGATTTTTTAAATATTACAGAGAAGAAGCCTATCTCACTCAAAGCTCCCAACTCTACTTGGAAACTTGCCTCCCATCCATGGGAGACGTTTACTGTATTGCTGAAAGTTTCAGGGCTGAACAAAGCCGAACCAGAAGGCATTTGGCCGAGTAAGATACGATTTTTTCGTTGCCAAAATCAAATTTCAGCATTAAAAAAATCGTAGGTATACGCACGTTGAAGCGGAATGCCCGTTCATAACTTTCGACGACCTCCTAAACCGCCTGGAAGATTTGATTTGCGACGTTGTCGATCGCGTTTTGAAGTCCCCGTACGGGCACATTGTTGCCGAGCTCAACCCCGACTTCAAGGTGCCCGAACGGCCGTTCATGCGCATGAATTACAGCGATGCCATTGCTTATCTCAAGGAGAACGGCATCACCAAGGAGGACGGAAGTTTCTACGAATTCGGAGAGGTGAGTTTTTGTTGTTTTTTTTTTCTTTATTTTCGTATATAATACAGGGCTCCCTAAAACTCATAAAATTCCTAAAATTTTGCTTAAATCTTCAAAACTCCTAAAATTCTCCTAAAATTGCCTTCAATCTCCTAAAAATCCTAAAAATTAAATTTAAATAGGCCAACCTGACTGCGTTTAATTAAGGTAGTGCTAAAAAAATTCTTTTTTAAAAAGTAATTTAAAAATTTATATATTTAGGTTCTATTTTATTAAATTTTTTTTAAAATGATATAATATCACAACAACAACATAAAAATTCTACAAAATTGTCATTTTTAGCGATATTCGTTTTTTAGTCAAAAATATAACAAACAAAAGGATTTTTAATTTTCTTTTAAATGACAGCTAAAATAGTAAACAATCTAAAGAATGTTCTGCTGTATTTATTGTATTGTACATTACAATTGAATCAGTGAGAATAAAAACAGTACAAGTCCAAAAATTTAATTTTGACAATTTATTTTCTATAATCAATTTTAAAGTTTACAATACATTTTTGATAGAAGATATAAATTATTTTACAGAAAATGAATATTACATTTCATAAAATAGTTAAAATATTCTAACAAAAATGCATTTAGAACTATAAAACTGATTTTTTGAAATATTTTATTAAAAATTTTACTTTTGGACTTGTACTATTCTTAACCTTATCGATTTTTTCTTAAAATATATAGATAACATCATTTGATTTTGGCATTAACTAAATCTATCGACGCATTTTTTTAAATAAAATTATAAGTGTGGTGAAATTTATACTTGTATATTTATGTACCTTAGATATATACAAAAGTAGTAATTTTACCTCACTTTTAATTTTATTTAAAAAAAACTCGTCGAGCGATTTGGCTAAAAAAACTAGTCAATATAACTTATTGTTACAAAAGAAGTATTATTTTTTTTTATTTTTTAAGTAGTAAAGAGATGTTTTTATTTAATTAAAGAAATTCATTTCCATACTTTATTTCTCCTAAAATTTTACAAAAAACCTCCTAAACTCCTAAATAAAATTTGTAATTTAGCCGTGGGAGCCCTGATAATATCACAAGAGAACAAATTTTGCCGGCAAAATTTTCGACTGGTATGAAAGTTTGTTGTTTGGCAATTTTCGAGAATGAAATTTTGACAAAATCCCGAGACGTCAGTCGAGGGATTTTGTCAAACTTGAATGAAACCAGAAGAAAATTTTGCCGGTAAAAATTTTCTCTCGAGTGATATTAGACAAGACTATTTCACGAGAAAAAACAAGACAATCAATGCACCATATTAACGAAACATGTAATCTTAATTTATTTGTTAATATTAAATGTACAATTATTATATGTTATGGTAGTTTGTCCATTCTTTTCTACCAAAGCACGATTTTGTGTATTATTGATGTACTATGTTCCACACTTCAAAGTCCCACCACGTGACCAAGTACGGAACGCAGTCTTTTGATAAATTGTCATTTAAGGCTTTTCAGGTTATGTATCTGTCAAAGTATAGTCAATGCAAGAAATAATATTTATACTGTTACCATTTATGTTTAAGCGTTAAAAGTTAATAAATCTTTATAGTAGCACAGTAACAATGGTTGGTTTAAGAGTTTAGGAGTATAAATACTGCATTTAATGAAATTCTAAAGTGTATAGTGCCAAATAAGTAAAATTTTTGTGCATTTGGTCTACATATATCTGGTTTTATCCATTAAATAGTTTTAACTAAACGGCATTTATTAAAAAAATTTAGCTTGTTTATTATGGAATAAGAATATCTGTATCAAAGGTAGGTTAATATATTATAACAAAAAATATCATCTAATTTTGAAATTTTAAGGTTAGAAAAATCTATTTTGATCAAAATAAATAAGTATTTTGGATTATTTGGAAGAGTGTGTTAATATGGTCATATAAATATAGATATACTAAATAATTGTTGAATATGGTTCAAATTAAATTAAAGCTTTTATACTCCTAACAACAAAACTTGTGCATACCTCGGGATCCCTACTTTAAGTTAGATTATAAGGAAACTAACAAAGAGATACATGCAATGTAAAAATATTTAATACTCCCATAACATGTGATTTTTGAAATTTTTAAAAGTTATAATGATTTTTTGATGAAGATAAAATTCAGTTGAAGCTTTATAAGTAATTGTATTGACAAAACTTTATGTAGGTATACTTTAAGCTGGATAAGAAAAAATACTACAAGTAAAATATTAGATGGAGTATACTGTGGTTTTATTTAAATTTTAGAATTTATAAGGTTATTTATACCTAATGATTGTTCGATGTAGATAAAATTTTGTCGAAGCTTTTATAGGTACTTGTATTGACACTATGGGTAAATAAGCTGACAGTGTAAGGAACTTTAAGAAGGTTAGCTATTGAATTTTTAAAAAGAATTTACAGTTTTTTAAAATTAAGTATCTAATGGTTTTATATTTGAAATGTTTAATATTGCTTATTTCCAAGAGCCAGTTGTTCAATTATGATGTCTATTTTGTTTTACTCCGGCATAAATATTTTCAACTGTAAAACTTAACTATTTTAAGATTTTTAAAATTAATTAAATATATAAAGGGGTTAATTTTAAAGAAGGAATCTAAAAACAACACCTTAAAATTATTAAAATTTGCAAATTATTAAATAATTTTAAATAATGTTTTTTATTATTTTACAAATTTCCAAACTTATTTTTTTTCTATATGTGAGTTTTTGAACTTTTATCGATTTTAGATTCTTTAAATTTTTATTTAAAATATATTATTTTTTGTTTATTTAATTAATCAAAGACGTTTATATGTATTTTCTTAAAATTATATTTAAAATTAAATTGTCTCATTATTTATGAACACCATGTATAATTCTTAATTATATAATTACAAAATAAAACTAATAATATTTTACATACACACATATACATATATACAATATAATTTATTATGTAGGTACTATATTACCTAATCGGGCTCACTGATCCTGATGAGTGTTATATTGAACTAAATAAGGTATACCCAAAGATAATACATCTTTGGGTATACCTATACTTATAAGTAATATCTTTATCAATACAAAAGGATGTGTGTCATTAAGGTTACTTGTATTAATTTAGTAATTATAAATATATATAGACCCCCAAATAGTAATTTTAAACTATTTTTGGATGTCTTGGAAAAAGTTTTTAATGATTTAGGTGTGTCTACAAAAATTGTTGTAACAGGTGATTTTAACGTAAATTTTACCCATTTTAGTAATGAGTATGAGTATGAGTATAAGAGACGTATAACCAGCCCCATTTCCTCTTGACTCTCGAACCCCGTACAGGCCTATGTTTACTTACGCCGATTTTTGTTCTTCCCCAGCAACTGCACGGCTTCACCCGTGTTTGCTGGGTGCGAATGTCCATTGCGTTACGTACTGTCCCCTATTTGGGGCTCGAGAGCGAGAGGCGAATAGTTATAATAGCCATTCCCGGGTTCGCCGAGCCTATGCTATACGCTCGGTGGGGTATGGATGAGGGACGGGAGGGAGTTGGTTTTTGGGGGACAATTACGCCGACTTAAAACTAAGTACGACGCGGAATCCTCCTAGACCAGTCGATTAGTATTACTCCAAACATTTGGGATCACTATTTGGAGTTGGGGAGTTGTTATTTCGCTGCAGGGGTGTAGTTTCCTAGTCGATGTCTTTGTCTTGTTCGTTATTGTCATTGTCCGTGTCCTGGTCAGATAGTTCCTGCCCTTGGTAAAGTGTGTCAGTTGTTTTTAATAATTTTTGTCCCAAGCACGTTTTGTGGTAGAGTTTCGTCTTTGTTTATCAAATTCCAAAGCATTGCATTTATTCACTAGTCAAACAAATCACAAGCGCGATTATTCTGTTGTCTAATGTTTACAAACTCGAGTTTGGCTATTAGGCCCTTTTTTTTAATGTGTTAGAATTTTGTTCAATGTTAGTTTACTCTGTCAGTCCAGTGTTTATTTTCCGGCTCGATTGGGACCGCCTTACGCATTTGCTGTTGACAGACTTATTGCCCCACGCTGCGTGCCCTTCTTAGGTTTTAAAGATATTCCAATAAACACTTTAACGATACCTATCACCACTAACATTGCCCGTGTAAGAATTTTTAACACTTTTTAATACAATTTTGCAATGATAGTAATTAAAAACAAAACAATTGTTTAAAGAGTAAAATATGTTCTTAACATAATCATATTTTAAAGTCATTTTAACATTTTCAAGTAAAATAAATGTTATGTTTAATGAAATGAATACTGGAAATGTTAATGGTGACAAATAACGGAAAATGCTTGCTGGGATCTATATATATGTATTTATATTGCAGATTTGTATCAGGTCATGCATACTCTTAAAGTAAAACTTATCAGATTTTTCCCCTTGCGGATGGCCACCTCCCCTCCTCTCCGACCTCCCCCGTCCGTCCAGTGAAAAGCCTCCAATGACAGGTGGCACCCAAGTCATTCATATCACCCAACACTCCACTTCTCAATGACCGTTACACCATTTTAGCTTGCACTCCATGAAAATGTTTGTTTCACTTATCAGTTCGCACCCCTTTTTTTTTAATTATTGTTGGTTTCAACTTTAAACTTTTACGTTTCAAGAGCTCACCCGCACGCGAGTCGCGAGCATTGCTGTTTGTAAGTTTCAAGAGCGCGACGGCAAGATGCGACTAACTTTGACGAGCTCTCGAACGTGACTGACCCATTTTAGTAATTCTACTTTTTTATTTATTATTGTTAGATTTATTTTTGTTCATTGGTTTCAAACAACTATTTTATTTACCTAGTCAAAATTCAAATTGAAAATATTTATGCCGGAGTAAAACAAAATAGACATCATAATTGAACAACTGGCTCTTGGAAATAAGCAATATTAAACATTTCAAATATAAAACCATTAGATACTTAATTTTAAAAAACTGTAAATTCTTTTTAAAAATTCAATAGCTAACCTTCTTAAAGTTCCTTACACTGTCAGCTAATTTACCCATAGTGTCAATACAAGTACCTATAAAAGCTTCGACAAAATTTTATCTACATCGAACAATCATTAGGTATAAATAACCTTATAAATTCTAAAATTTAAATAAAACCACAGTATACTTATATTTTACTTGTAGTATTTTTTCTTATCCAGCTTAAAGTATACCTACATAAAGTTTTGTCAATACAATTACTTATAAAGCTTCAACTGAATTTTATCTTCATCGAAAAAATCATTATAACTTTTAAAAATTTCAAAAATCACATGTTATGGGAGTATTAAATATTTTTACATTGCATGTATCTCTAAAAGTTGTTAGTTTCCTTATAATCTAACTTAAAGTAGGGATCCCGAGGTATGCACAAGTTTAATTTAATTTAATTTGAACCATATTCAACAATTATTTAGTATATCTATATTTATATGACCATATTAACACACTCTTCCAAATAATCCAAAATACTTATTTATTTTGATCAAAATAGATTTTTCTAACCTTAAAATTTCAAAATTAGATGATATTTTTTGTTATAATATATTAACCTACCTTTGATACAGATATTCTTATTCTATAATAAACAAGCTAAATTTTTTTAATAAATGCCATTTAGTTAAAACTATTTAATGGATAAAACCAGATATATGTAGACCAAATGCACAAAAATTTTACTTATTTGGCACTATACACTTTAGAATTTCATTAAATGCAGTATTTATACTCCTAAACTCTTAAACCAACCATTGTTACTGTGCTACTATAAAGATTTATTAACTTTTAACGCTTAAACATAAATGGTAACAGTATAAATATTATTTCTTGCATTGACTATACTTTGACAGATACATAACCTGAAAAGCCTTAAATGACAATTTATCAAAAGACTGCGTTCCGTACTTGGTCACGTGGTGGGACTTTGAAGTGTGGAGCATAGTACCATGTGGGAACTCGAAGGTCCAGCTTCATTTGTTCGGAGATTTTCGATCAACTTCTGTTGGTGACTAGAATCTAGCTGCAGGTATGGTTTTAGGGAGCTTGCATTTGAGTGACCCGTTAATTTAATTAACTCCTGTTCAGCAACACCTTGCTTAAACAAGGCTGACACAGCTGAAGATCGATGCGAATGGTTTGTTATTTTATGTTTTTTTGTGTCTATTCCAATTTTTTCAGCTGACATCTTTGTCCACTTAGATACGATGTTGATTCCAAGTGGACAGTTTTTGAACCAAGATCCATTCTTCCAGTTGGGGTGAACGGTAAGAAAAAGTCTGTCTTCTTTTTTCTGGACAACTTTGAAGCTGCTTTCGCTACTCTTTATAGTCTTTGCCATTGCATTTTTTCATATTAAAGGCGTAATCTTTTTTTTTTGCTAGTTCCGTCGCGGTAGTACATTTTTCCAGTGTAAAATTTCTCACCCCTAGGAATTCTGAGAATTGGGTCCAAATAGAGCTTCTGGACCTCTGAGTATTTGATGGGATATTTTCTGAAACCAATTTTTGCCACGAATGGCACCCAAATCGTGAATTTGCGCGTGGATACATTATTTCACAATGACGTTTGTCAAACTGGCAACAATAGAAGTATAAAACACCTTGGTGACGGATTTGTAAGAATATCAAAACAACTTTAATTTTATTGTTTGTCAAACTGACAACAAGTACCAAACCATAATTTTGTCGCTGAGAAATCACGGGCAGTTTTGTCAGTAGAAAACGTGCCGTTACTATGACATTTTATTACTTAAAAATAGTCTAGTGAAATAGTCATATATTATATCACGAGAACTATGAATTTAATCGGTAAAACTAGGCTCAGTAGTTTTTTGTTTGGTTTTTCTTGGAAAATGTTGAATGCAAAATAATTTAATAAAATCACGAGACCGCGTAGCGGTCGAGGAGTTTTATTTTTAATTATTTTGCATGAAACTACTTTCCAAAAAGAAAAATCAAATAAAAAACTTATTGAGCATAGTTTGACAGATTAAATTTATAGGTTGAGTGATATACGTCTAGATTATTTCTCGAATTAAAGGAAACTATTTGACAATTCATAAAATCTGACGTATGTGTCAAAATTTATAAAAATTATTTTAAAGAAAATTCCATTAATTTAAGGTATGTAATAAGTAATAATTGATATTTCGTAAACTAGATAACTTATTTTTTATTGTTTTTTAAAAAATGTTTGTTAAAACTTGTAAATAACACCATAAAATCGTAAACAAAAATCCAATATGGAGGCTAAAATTTAATCGCTGTTAAATAGTTCTAGTGATTTAATCGCCTATTTAAACGAAATTTATTCGAAAATTCAAGGCTTTTGATTGGTTCATATTATAATGAGGGAAATAATCTTTATTATTTTAGGATATCCCGGAAATGCCCGAGAGAAAAATGACGGACAAAATCAACAAGCCGATAATGCTGTGCAGATTCCCGGCCAACATAAAATCCTTTTACATGAGCAAATGTCCGGAGGATGCCGGACTGACGGAGAGTGTGGATGTGCTGTTGCCAAATGTCGGCGAAATTGTGGGGGGATCCATGAGGATCTGGGATCTTCAGGAACTTTTGGAAGGGTAAGAAATGTTTTTTTTTAATCTTGTTATCAAAACTTTGGAAATATTTTAGGTACAAACGCGAAGGTATCGACCCAGCCCCGTATTTCTGGTACACTGATCAAAGAAAGTACGGTTCTTGTCCACATGGTGGATACGGGCTTGGTTTGGAAAGATTTGTTTGTTGGTTACTAAACAGGTACCACATCAGAGAAGTTTGCTTGTATCCCAGATATTTGCACCATTGCAAACCTTAAGGTTATTTTTATACGCCCTGTGCATTTAAAATGTGGTTTACAATTATTTTAACTTATAAATCAGCACACTTCATTAAGATAAAACGTTTTTTTTATCTTATATTTTAGTGTATGTATAACTTAAATATTTAATCAACTTTTTATTTTGGCATTAAAATTATTTCCTGTTAAAATACTTTGTTTTATTTTATTTTTCATCTGGGATCTTCAAGAACTTCGGAAAAGGTAGAAATGTTTTTATAGTTTTTTTTAAGTACCAGCTAAAAAAGTCAAATAGGTACAGGGTATACAGAAAATGACGGATTTCTAACAATAAAATTGACCTAACAAAAATTAAGAAAAAAATTCAAAAGAATAAAAGAATCAACAAAAAGGACAATTTTGGGTAAGCTTTGACTTTTATTTTTTAAAACGTCGTTATTTACCTATAAAATCACTGACTTGTAAAAATTAATGAAAAAATCAAATAAAAAATTAACGAAAATATTTTTTTAAATGACTATTTTTTAAGTTTCTACTTTTAATTTTCTTGGCGTCGTTTTTAACTAAAATTAAGCTAAAAAATAAAATACAATATTAAAAAATTTAAAAAACTAAAATAATGCAAAAAATTTACAAAAATAATGCAAAATTTACTATTTAGTATAGTGAGACATACATATACGTCTTTTATTTTTCAAAGCGTTTTTTAACGTTTTGTATCGGGTAACCGAAAAAAAACCTGTTTCTTAGAAAGCATTTCTTAAACATTTTCTGCTTCTTCTTCGCTAATTTCTGATGCAGTTGGTTCATTCAAATCATACTTTCATTTTCCATATCCTTACAGTCGTCATCTAACCATTTTAAATGTTAAATTTCCTCAAATTCGGCATCACCATACGTTTAATATACTGTATTGATGGAGTCCACAGTGCATTTCAAGGTATTTTTTTAATTCTGTACCATAATTTGTGCCATAATATTTGTTTGGTGCGCACCATAATGTACCATAATTTTTGCAAATGTGTACCATAACTTTTATTTTGAGGTTGGCAACACTGGATTGAACGGTTGTCAAGTTGGTAGACGTCATTATTTTTACACCCTGTATAATTTAAATCTGCAATTATCTGAGAATGGCAGCTGAAACTGATTAGTTTCCAAACCGTAATCGAATTCCATCATCTATAGAAGCTTTGCTTATTCGGTAAAAACAATATGAACCTAACTTTGCAGAATAGTTAGTTGTAGGTATTGTGTATTTTAGTTTGGAAACTATTCTTATTGTTTGTAACAGATGGTTTTCAAGTATATAAGTTAATCAAAGTTCAAGATCTAGGTATTTGATTATTAGTTGTAAACTCAAGTAACTCTACAAATTTAGTGCTTGATTAGATATTGGTCTGTTGAAGTTACTTCCTATTCAGTAATTCAATATACTGCCTGGAAATCGATGCCAAGGCGCGTCAATAAGTGACTTTATCAAAGAGCTGGTCAAACTTATTGCAATTATAAAGGTGTTGTTGAGTCGCCATCAAATATCACTCAATAAAGCTTAATGCTCTTCTACGAGGTGTGTTCAGAAAATATCGGGAATTTTCGTTTTTTGAAACAAATATTTATTTATTTGTCTACATTAATGTTGTCGCCTTCAAAATTGGATATTAGGCACATGTGCCAGCTCTTCTTTAAATACTCGAAACACTTCTAAAACTCGATCTTTGGGATAGCCTTTAGTTCTTTCAGCGATGCGCTTTTAATGTCATCTATGCTTGCAAAACGACGGCCCTTTAAGGTTCTCTTTATTTTTGGGAATAGGAAAAAGTCAGACAGAGGCATGTCTGGCGAATATGGAGGCTGGGGCATCATTACAGTATTGTTTTTGGCCAAAAATTTTGTTCAAAATTTAACAATTTTGGAATAAATTTTGCTGCCACGCGTTTCATACCGAAACATTCGAAAAAATTTCATGGGATGAGACAATCGATATACCAACATCATCAGCGACTTCTCTGATGGTTTATAACCATTTCTTCCAATTTTTTCATGTTTTTATCGGTTGTTAATGTGCTTGTGCGTTCGGGGCGTTCGTCATCTTCAACGTCTTCACGACCATCTTGGAAACTCTTATACCACTTGTAAACTCTTGTTTTACTTAAGTATAATTATAGCAGACTCATTATAGGCCTTTGTTGACATTTCACAGAATTTATTTCATTTTTTAAGCAAAATTGGATACAAACTCTTTGATCCATTTCTTTTAACGAACGAAACATCGCTGAGCTCATAAAACACGTCTAACCTTAGCGGCTGCCACAGACAAAGTAAACAATGAAAACCGCTAAAGTTTTAATCATACTTCGAGGGCATGCCAAAAAACCTCGATATATTTTTTTTCTTGCTCTCAACCCAAAATATCGTAGAATATGTCCGAACAAATATTCTGTTAAAAGCGGAGCTCATAATTTCAATTTTAAGAGGTCCTCCATCGAATCTGAAGTTTTGCCGCTTAAATAACACAGAAAACTGACTTTTTTACCTTATTTATTCTTGCAACCTAGGAAGAATTTTTTTTTTCATAAAATCCATGACTAATTCTTATAAAGCATTAAATTTGGAAGAAAATAATCCTATTAAGCCGAATTTCTATTTTCATTATTTGATTTTTTACAAAGCTTTAAATTTAAAATTTTACGTTTTTTGCCTTTTTCAGCTAAACTATTTAAGTTAGACGAAAAAGTCAAATGACAATTTTTTAGCTTGTCTGATGGACCACAAAAAAGTTTTAGGCGAATTTTTTGTATCGTCAATATTCTTAAAGTTACAGGCGTATAAAGTCATCATTTTTGTATTATTAACTTTAAATTTAAAGCTCTGTAAAAAATCAAATATAGAATTTCACTTTTAAACTAGTATTAATATAAAAATTATTTTATGCTTAAAAAAAACTATATACGACATGATTGTGATTTTTTTCATTTTATTAATTAATTAACCTGTGTTGAATATTTTTCCTAAAGGAATAATTGCCAATGGGCCATTAATTCATTTTTTCGTAGATGCTACAATAACCTGCACTGGTGTGTACTTTTTCATCAACCAGATTTAAATATTACAAAACTAACATATACCATACACTGCATTGGAGGTAGTGCAGGGTCTACCAACAGACCTAATTGGTCAATTCTCATATAACTTGTTCCGATGCTGTATCCACTTATTTTTGTGAAAACTAATTCTCGCTCAAGGTTTTTTTTAGTGTAATAAGCATGTAGCATTTCAAGGTAATGGGAACTTAAATTATGACAACCCTAATCTATTAATTTTTTCCTAAAATGCAGGCTTTATGTTGCAAATGTCACATAAGTTACCGGTCACCAACTGCAATATCCTAACATCGATGAATATTTCAACAAAATGACCGTTCAAACAACTAATGTTAGTGCTTGATTAACTAAAAATAGACTTAAGATTGACAAAAAATTATTTTATCCGAAATCGGCAGTAAAGTAGTCAACAATCGTAAATTAAAATAAATCGGCAGTAAAGTTCTACTTTACTGCCGATTTCGGATAAAAGAATTTTTCGTCAATCTTAATTAAGTCTATATTGAGTTAATCAAGCACTAACATTAGTTGTTTCAACAGCCATTTTGTTAAAATATTCATCAATGTTAGGATATTGCAGTTGGTGACCGGTAACTTATGTGACATTTGCAACATAAAGCCTGCATTTTAGGAAAAAATTAATAGATTAGGGTTGTCATAATTTAAGTTCCCATTACCTTAAAATGCTACTTGCTCATTACACTAAAAAAAACCTTGAGCGAGAATTAGTTTTCACAAAAATAAGTGGATACAGCATCGAAACAAGTTATATGAGAATTTACCAATTACTAAATTATTAAAGTTTAATAGCATATCGATCATTTATTCAACATAACCCCTGAAATTTTTAATACAAATATAAGTATACTTTATATAATACATAAATATACTTAACATCATATCAACTGTGCTTTACATACCTGAGTTGTTACGGTAAATAAAAATCAGACAAAGGAACCAAAGAAAGAAACTATTTTCAACAAAATCATATGCAGAAAGGAGAAAATTCAAACTACTTGCATCCATCAAAAGATCAAAACTTCTTGCAATATTACACCCTCTTTTTATACTCTCAGAAATATTGACTAGAACAGTATTAGAGAGACTCCAGTTTCTATAACTTGGTAGAGTAAAGAGAAGTCGAAACCGTTGCGATATTGCATTGCGCTGTTTTTGTATAATTCTCGGGGACATTAACGAAAATCATTGCCAGTAAAATTCGAAAAGCTTGAGTTTCTATGTCTCTGAGGAGAATAGGAATCCGAAGTTGCTGCACCATTGGACTGAACCCTTTTTTAATAATTTCTAGAGACATAAATGACTGCACCATTCGACAGGGTCGAGTTTCTATCTCTCTGTTGAATATAGAAAATCAAAATAATGTATCTTGTAAGACACCATTGAGTTTGACTTTAAATATAGTCGTGCATAGGTATAGAGCCGAAAAATATAAAAACAAAGCACGATTCAATACAGTTATGATAAAACTTTAAGATTTGATATTCAAACGCGGAGTCATCCTATACACTTCTATAATTTTTCGTTTGCTGTGATGTAAGGTTCCTGCAACATTACATTTGTTAGGTGTAATGCCGAGCTCGAAGCGCGTCTCCCGAATGGTATGGTCCAACGACTAATGCACCATACCCACCAACACTGACAGACAGACTGTTTCGACCTGTTGGCCCAACAGTGTTGGGTCTCATCAGTGTCAGGCAGTCGGTGACGGGAGACACGCATCAAGCTCGGCACTGTTCACTTATAAAGATATAAATGACCAGGACAGCGGCGAGATGCATCGGCAAGTCAGTCTGCAAACAACATTTCAAACATTATCTTAATGCAATATTTTGGATGAAACATTGTCCAAAACTAAAGTTATAATTATAAATGTAATATTATAGTAAAAATGTTGAAAAATCCCAGATAGCACAAGAGGTACCCATGACGTCCATTTCGGGTCCCACATAGGTCCGAACGTCCTAGACCTATATCGGAACTTTTGGGTACGTCCAGTCTCTTACTTATTTGGGAAAATTATAGCGGATATACTGGGTACGTCCCAATGACGTAATTTTT